TCTGCCACCAAACCTGAATGAAAGGATGAACAACCCAGCGGGTTTTCTTCCTATTGGGAAGTGTTGTACATGCTGCTATGGCGGTATGTCCACTCACAGGATGAGTGGTGCTGCCCAATACTGTCACTATGGTGGTGTGTCCACTCACAGGATGAGTGGCGCTGCCCAATACTGTCACTATGGCGGTGTGTCCACTCACAGGATGAGTGGCGCTGCCCAATACTGTCACTATGGCGGTGTGTCCACTCACAAGATGAGTGACGCTGCCCAATACTGTCACTATGGTGGTGTGTCCACTCACAGGATGAGTGGCGCTGCCCAATACTGTCACTATGGCGGTGTGTCCACTCACAGGATGAGTGGCGCTGCCCAATACTGTCACTATGGCGGTGTGTCCACTCACAAGATGAGTGACGCTGCCCAATACTGTCACTATGGTGGTGTGTCCACCCACAGGATGAGTGGCGCTGCCCAATACTGTCACTATGGCGGTATGTCCACTCACAGGATGAGTGGTGCTGCCCAATACTGTCACTATGGTGGTGTGTCCACTCACAGGATGAGTGGCGCTGCCCAATACTGTCACTATGGCGGTGTGTCCACTCACAGGATGAGTGGCGCTGCCCAATACTGTCACTATGGCGGTGTGTCCACTCACAGGATGAGTGACGCTGCCCAATACTGTCACTATGGTGGTGTGTCCACCCACAGGATGAGTGGCGCTGGCCAATACTGTCACTATGGCGGTGTGTCCACTCACAGGATGAGTGGTGCTGCCCAATACTGTCACTATGGTGGTGTGTCCACTCACAGGATGAGTGGCGCTGCCCAATACTGTCACTATGGCGGTGTGTCCACTCACAGGATGAGTGGCGCTGCCCAATACTGTCACTATGGCGGTGTGTCCACTCACAGGATGAGTGACGCTGCCCAATACTGTCACTATGGTGGTGTGTCCACCCACAGGATGAGTGGCGCTGGCCAATACTGTCACTATGGCGGTGTGTCCACTCACAGGATGAGTGACGCTGCCCAATAAACTCGCCCCGCGAGGCAAAAAGAAAAAAGAAAAAATGAATGAAAAATGCCACACGGCTCACAACTACATTGTTTTCCTCTGTAACCTTTCCCACCATCGCTCACAGGCCGGGTATCGGGTGCATAACAACTAAAATAAATTCAACTAAATCCTTTATTTATCAATGACGCGAATAAACAATTAAAATTTCCGTATTTACTAATATATAGCAATTAGGATTTGTTTGTAAACACGAAATGGCGTCAAAGAGTATGTTATCACTCTGTTTGACTATACCTACGCGTTGTGATCACTTTGACTATTACGGGCTATTCATGCCCGTGCCACCTCTGGGGTGGCTTAACCTTCATCAATCAATAAATAACTCCAAAATAACCTTCATCAATCTGGACCTACGTCCAGCCGTGTCCACGCGACCTATCAGTCAAATGACAGGGCCGCCTAATATCCTAATATTTTTTAAACTCTCTACAACTCTTCCTCTTCATCCCCGGTAATGTACGGGCTCACCATAGCCCGTGCTACATGCACATTTCGTTCTGAGTAGCTAAATCTAAAACAGCAAACAATCCCGGTAATTCTTTTTACATGTGTGCATAAATGAGAAATGAATTTAAGGAACAAGCTTTTTTTTTATTATTATTATTTTCTACCACAGACGTGGCCATACATTAACAATGTTAACCAGAATATTTACATTTTCTTCTGTCCTCCATGGACAGGGTTAGAGATTTGTCAGGGGGGGGGGGGTAGAAATAGCCTAAGCTACTCTATCCCTTTGAGATGTATTTCTTTCTTATCTCAATAAACATACTTGAACTTGAACTTGAACTTGAGATTTGTCAAACATACAGTTCAGGGATTTATTGAACAATCAACCACAGAAGGTGATTGTAGTGTGGTGTGAAGACGAATAATAACAAACAGCAGCTCCCTTATAACCCTGTAATATCTCCATAACTAAAACAATTATGTATTATCGAAAAGACTTAACATTAATGTATAATGTTTAATTGTAAATATATATATATATATATATATATATATATATATATATATATATATATATATATATATATATATATATATATATATATATATATATATATATATATATATATATTGAAATAAAAACAATCTCTATAACCAGCTGACATTATACGGTGTGAAGGATAGATGCAATTGTTTATGTAATAATCTCCGTTGAGGTCTGATAAAGACCTTTTGTGCCCTCTGTAATCCTTTTTGCGCTACCGCTCACAGGATGTGTATGGGGTGCACAATAAACTACCGCTCACAGGATGTGTATGGGGTGCACAATAAACTACCGCTCACAGGATCTACCACTCACAGGAGTATGGGGTGCACAATAGCCTACCGCTCACAGGATGAGTATGGGGTGCACAATAAACTACCGCTCACAGGATGAGTATGGGGTGCACAATAAACTACCGCTCACAGTATTAGTATAGGGTGCACAATAAACTACCGCTCACAGGATGAGTATGGGGTGCACAATAAACTACCGCTCACAGGATGAGCTACTAGGTACGACATATATTATGGGGTGCACAATAAACTACCGCTCACAGTATTAGTATAGGGTGCACAATAAACTACCGCTCACAGGAGGAGTATGGGGTGCACAATAAACTACCGCTCACAGGATGAGTATGGGGTGCACAATAAACTACCGCTCACAGTATTAGTATAGGGTGCACAATAAACTACCGCTCACAGGAGGAGTATGGGGTGCACAATAAACTACCGCTCATAGGAGTATGGGGTGCACAATAAACTACCACTCACAGGATGAGTATGGGGTGCACAATAAACTACCGCTCACAGGAGTATGGGGTGCACAATAAACTACCGCTCACAGGAGTATGGGGTGCACAATAAACTACCGCTCACAGGAGTATGGGGTGCACAATAAACTACCGCTCACAGGATGAGTATGGGGTGCACAATAAACTACCGCTCACAGGAGTATGGGGTGCACAATAAACTACCGCTCACAGGAGTATGGGGTGCACAATAAACTACCGCTCACAGGATGAGTATGGGGTGCACAATAAACTACCGCTCACAGGATGAGTATGGGGTGCACAATAAACTACCGCTCACAGGAGGAGTATGGGGTGCACAATAAACTACCGCTCACAGGAGTATGGGGTGCACAATAAACTACCGCTCACAGGAGTATGGGGTGCACAATAAACTACCGCTCACAGGATGAGTATGTGGTGCACAATAAACTACCGCTCACAGGAGTATGGGGTGCACAATAAACTACCGCTCACAGGAGGAGTATGGGGCGCACAATAAACTACCGCTCACAGGAGTATGGGGTGCACAATAAACTACCGCTCACAGGGAGTATGGGGTGCACAATAAACTACCGCTCACAGGAGGAGTATGGGGCGCACAATAAACTACCGCTCACAGGAGTATGGGGTGCACAATAAACTACCGCTCACAGGAGTATGGGGTGCACAATAAACTACCGCTCACAGGAGTATGGGGTGCACAATAAACTACCGCTCACAGGAGTATGGGGTGCACAATAAACTACCGCTCACAGGAGTATGGGGTGCACAATAAACTACCGCTCACAGGAGTATGGGGTGCACAAATACTACCGCTCACAGGAGTATGGGGTGCACAATAAACTACCGCTCACAGGAATATGGGGCGCACAATAAACTACCGCTCACAGGAGTATAGGGTGCACAAATACTACCGCTCACAGGAGTATGGGGTGCACAATAAACTACCGCTCACAGGAGTATGGGGCGCACAATAAACTAGCCGCCTCCGATGGCAACAACAGATCAAGTGTATAACAAATTCCCTTATACGATATTCACCGCCGATCGTATATTTCTACATAAATTTAAATGTATAATCCTGCATGCACCTTTGAACGTGTAAGGCCTACATACACCTTTGAACGTATAGGCCTACATGGACCTTTGAACGTATAGGCCTACATGGACCTTTGAACGTATAGGCCTACATAGACCTTTGAACGTATAAGCCTACATGGACCTTTGAACGTATAGGCCTACCTGCACCTTTGAACGTATAGGCCTACCTGCACTTTTGAACGTATAGGCCTACATGGACCTTTGAACGTATAGGCCTACATGGACCTTTGAACGTATAGGCCTACATGGACCTTTGAACGTATAGGCCTACATGGACCTTTGAACGTATAGGCCTACGTGGACCTTTGAACGTATAGGCCTACGTGGACCTTTTAACGTATAGGCCTACATGGACCTTTGAACGTATAGGCCTAAATGTACCTTTGAACGTATAGGCCTACATATTGTTCTCGCTGTTGACTACAAACTATAAACAACTCAATTTAATAAACAATAAATGTAATGTTAATGAAGAACGAATTATTATTATTATTATTATTATTATTATTATTATTATGTGTAGCCTATGAACTCGACCTCCAGAAGGAGCTCAAATAACTTAATGTGAGATTCCTCGACTTATTCTCACGTCATCTCTATCATCATTTATATTAATAATACGAAGGCAAAACTCTGCACTGCTTTCCCCTTTTTATATGACACAAGAAAATTATCAATGAAATACAATGGTAATGCATATTATTGTATTTCAAATGCAATGACACAATGAAATACAATGCAAAAATACTGAAAAATTCTGAACCACGACAAAAATATCGTAAATGAGACCTGTAAATGGCGTTTTGAATGTACACCGCTGACAGGCGTACGAATTTGTCCCATGTCTTTCTACGCGTACGTGTGTAATTATTATTTGATTACGTAAGCTTTAGAGAATTAGTCATTGATAACTTTACATTATTAAGGTACTTACGAAGACACATATGAATAGATAAAGAAATATGCCAATTAGATATAAGACAACAGCAGCGTTGCCATATCATACGCTCCCTGGGTCCGGGTTACAACTTCACTCAGTCGAGCTTATGTAGTCACAGAGGGAGGTGGTCATGCACGTTCCGTTGACTCGTGGAACCATGTGGTGCTTCTTGTGCTCTCTTGTTGGTAAATAATTAAGATTGATTCGAGGCGGCATTCGCTACAGTAGTATTATCCAAGTGTTCATTTTTGTGAGTGTGTTTACCGGAACATTATCTCTGACAAAGGATAACTGGATGGTCAGGGAACGAACGTTGTGCATAGAGTTCATTGTTTTAAGTGTGTATAGGCGAGAATTCTTTTTCCACTGTAAGCGAAGACAATGACAAAGTAAAAGGAATTGAGTGATTGGTTGAGGGCGTGGTGGTTGTAGGGTGTTGTGAGGATGGCGAGTACCGCCATGGGCAGCGGGGTGACCAGCGTGGATGCCCAGCTGGTGGCCCTCCTGGACAAGCTGGAGGGCCTTCGTCAGGAGACCACCAGCCCGCCCCCCAGGCCTCCCATGATCGCCGAGGTGCGCACCCTGGAGCTGTGGCGGGCGGTGATAGCAGAGTGCCTGGCCACGGTGTTCTACGTGTTCTTGGTGTGTGGCGCCTACAGCCCCTGGACGGGCAAGACCCTCACGCAGGAGGGCCAGCTCACCATATCCCTGGTGGCCGGCTTCGCCATGGCTGTCCTCGTCCACAGCTTCGGCCAGGTGGGTCTCTACCCCTGTTTTTGGTGTTTTTGATTTAACTACTCTGAACGAAATGTCATGTAGCACGGGCTATGGTGAGCCCGTAAGTCTCTACACCTTCACTAGTATATACCCGTCGTAATAAGGTTTTAATGTCTGCCCACAACAGCCTCCACGTTCTTTCTAAGTGTGGCATTGATGCTTATTGCAAAATAAAGATATTTTAATCACATGGTCAAAGGTCAAGGTCACATGAATTTTAATTACGCTGATAGCCTATATGTAGAACGATGACCTCGCTTCTTGCAGGGTCGTCGTTCGATCCCCGATGGTCCAAGTGGGTTGACACCGATGATATCCCAGCACCGTGACCTCGTATACCTTCCAAGTGCTGTATAGACTTACTGACACCACTTTCTCATTGTTGTCTTACATATTGTCAGTGTATTGTGTATAGCTTCCTGGGCTGTAATAAGTCTGTCTAGAAACTCATGTAATTGACGTTACGTCCACATAGAGGGTTTTGAGAGTTCCTTCAAAATCCAGTCAGAGGTCAAGCTTGTTTGGTGATAAATTGCCCCGTCAAGCTGTTACTTCAGTTGGTAGGTCAAGTATTACTTTATTATGCAGTTTAATTTAGGAGGCCTGGTCGAAGACCGGGCCGCGGGGACATTGAGCCCCAAAATCATCGCAAGGTAACCCCCATACCCATCCCGAGGGTGGCGGTGGAAAGGGTTAGAGGCACATAATGGGTTCAAGAACTGAGCCCCGTAATTCCATTTAGCTAAGTAACACCCAATTACTTAACTAGCTTCACGCTTATGAAGCTAGTTACAATTTTTGTTTATTACACATACATATACTGTATATACAGCATACACACATTGTTAGGTGGGTTACCTAGGTTCTGACTCGTCTGCTTAGGCAAAACTGGTGCATTTTTATACACAGTGGTAATGCTCTCAGTGGCCCGCAGGCCCACAACTAACCCCCCCCCCCCCCCACGTAAACCCCAGCATTAGGTATCTTCTTTCCATAGAAAAAATAATAACGTTATAATTGCACTTTTGAGAGGCTCAAAAAGAGTAATTGTTAATTGAGTGCTAACAATATTGGGAGTAAGACCTCATAGAGGGCATTTTTTCTATCATATTGGGTACATGTGCATTAATGCAGCTACCCTAGACTATATGAAGGGTTTCCATAGTGTCCAATAAGAACTTGCTGTGAAATGCTAAGAATTCCCTGTCTTGCAGGATAATCAGTCGTTGTGTATGTGATCAGTAGCCTGCACTTGCAAACTTTGGATGCAATATGAAGGTGTCATCTAGAACACGAGATTGAATCAAGTACTGTATTAGTCATTAGGGAGCTGCTGTTTATTATTAGTCTTCACAATACACTACTTGTTTCTTAATCGCATTTACTGGAAGCAAAATATGGATACAGTGCAAGGATTTCAGGTATTTTATCCTGGGTAATAAGATAGGTTGGTCACAACGTGAGCTTAGATTTATCTCTAAATGGCTCAATTTTACTACAGTCCAAGATATAGTGTTCGAGTGTGTCCCTGTCTTTGTCCACACACTTTACACTTTATTTCATCTAGATTCCTATACAAGCCGAACTGCCAGATATACTTATTTGAGCTGTGACAACGTCTGTTAGTCTACTGACTTTGTTACTTGCCCCATAAACATGGTCTACTTCACACATTTCATTGTGATAAACAATGGACCTGCTAGTTCCAGTTTGCACTGTTCTACTTTCTTCAAATCCATCCAGGAGTTCTCGTCTAATGACTCCGTTCTGTTACTCAAGAACCCCTTTAGCCTTGTCAGCAGTGTTCCCGTTACTCTAAAAGAGGCTAGTTGTTCTAAGATTAGCCCTCTGCTGTGTCAAAAGCAGTTTGGAGACCAATAAATGCCTCTCGAGACCTTGGTCCCTTCCTAATACGGTTAGTTATTCAGCAGAGGAAGTTTGTGCTTCTTCCGGCAAGGGAACCACACAGGTTGCGTGCAAGTTGTGGTCTAATTTGAAACATTAACCTGTCGAGTATAATCCTCTCAAGAACTTTACATATGCAGGATGTCAGAGAGGGAGGGATTATCAGGGGGAAAGCGCCAAGCCATTACGCCTATATAGCACTTGGAAGGCATTAGGACAAGGATTTAGGATGGGACGGGAGAAAGGAATCGTGCCCAACCACTTGGACAGTCGGGGATTGAACGTAGACCTGCAGGAAGCGAGACCGTCGCTCTACTGTTCAGCCCAAGTGGTTGGGTCGGGATGTCAGAGATTGGTCCGAATTTTTGTGAATTTGGTTTGGGTATTGGTTTTTTAAGTCCGTGTGTTCAGCGGCCGGGTACCCTGCTTTACACTTTTAATATACACTTCTAGAAGAGAATTGTTTGGCAGCTCGGATAGTATTTTCGTGGTATTGTATGTTAAGCCCCGAAGTCATCTCAAGATAACCTCAAGACGGTGGTTGTCGGGTTTCTCTGACAAATGCTGGGTAATGCTTTCTTGACGCGGCAAAAAAAAAAAAACAGTGGGGAAGGGGGTTGAGGTACAAAGAAAAAACGAGAAAGGAAATAATCTAAGGAAGGAATGGGAAGTAATGAAGGAAAAGAATGAATGGAAGGAGAGAGAGATAGATAAAAATAAAAATAAAAATAAAAATATGGCAAGATAAACCCGGAAGTTGGTAGAGGGCTCACAGGACACACACAACAATGGCGAGATCTGAAAACTTGTATAAGAGTGTAAAGGGGACAGAAAACGTGAACTTATTTTGGACAGACTTTCTGAAAAAAATCGGTTGAGAAATGTACATATCCTATGCTTAACATGTGACAAATACGCCCTCTAGGTAAACCCTCAGTCACGCTTTACCAACAAAAGTTAACCATACATCTATTTCGTTTCCCAAATTAATATATTTAGTTTTACGATTAGGTCAAAACACACACACAAATTAATGATATAAAATAGAGTAAATCAGGATGTATATTCCTGTCAGGAATACACCTTGCAGCCCCGTAACATTGTTCAGCAATAAAAGTTCCCAAACTAAGTGAATGGTTGGGTAGGTGTTGGGTAGGAGAACTATTCTCGCATAACCTTCCAGATTATTATTTATTATTATTAACATCTTTATTGACAAAATTAATTACAATTTTGCCTAATCTGAGGATTTTGATAGTCTTATTAAAGTGAGGATAATGGTGGTATTCACTGTCACGCAGGACAAGAGGGTCATACATAAGACAATAGGTCTAAACTGTAGGCTGAAGCACATATATAATATCATGGTTACAATCAATGTTTTAATGTATGGATATGTGAAAACAACTTTCTACTGTGCACTGCCACACAAGGGCAGAGATGGGTTCATAAGTGATGCAGCTTAGAAGTAATATAAATAAAAATTGTTCCAGATTATTAAAGCTTACTTCTCACAGCTCACGCCACTGCCCCCCACATGTGCCCATTTTAATTACGGGAAGTGTTGTAAGGTTTTAACCAACGGGAAGATTTTTTTTATTTAATATTTCCAGACTCGCGTTTTTTAATCAGCTTAGAGGGAATTTGCTACGTTGGGAAGCATTGCAATTTTTGTAGGGAGTTAATTGAACTCTACACCCCAGAGATTTATATTATTTATTTAGGTGAGTATTCCTACCTAAACATTATATCATAGGTTTATGACATTATATCGTAGGTTTATACCATTATATTATAGGATTTAAAGTCAAATTATATATTTAGGATCTGTACCATTCCTTCATTACATTCCTTCTTTCCCTTTATTTCTTCTCATTCCTTTATTATTTTCCATTCCTTCATTATTTCCCATTCCTATATTACTTCCCTTTCTTCTTTATTTAGATTATTTCCTTCTCATTTTTTTTCTTTGCACCTCTACACCTTCCCCAGCGTTTTTTTTTTTTTTTTTGCCTCGTACATTTGCCAGAGAAACCCGACAACCTGGTAGCCCCGAGTTCCCAGGTAGCTTAGTGTCGTCTGTGACAGGTGGTCGTCTGTGTCAGGTGGTCGCCTGTGTCAGGTGGTCGCCTGTGATAGGTGGTAGTCTGTGACAGGTGGTCGTCTGTGTCAGGTGGTCGCCTGTGATAGGTGGTCGCCTGTGATAGGTGGTCGTCTGTGTCAGGTGGTCGCCTGTGATAGGTGGTCGTCTGTGTCAGGTGGTCGCCTGTGATAGGTGGTCGTCTGTGCAGGTGGTCGCCTGTGATAGGTGGTCGTCTGTGTCAGGTGGTCGCCTGTGATAGGTGGTCGTCTGTGTCAGGTGGTAGCCTGTGATAGGTGGTCGTCTGTGTCAGGTGGTCGCCTGTGATAGGTGGTCGCCTGTGATAGGTGGTCGCCTGTGTCAGGTGGTCGCCTGTGATAGGTGGTCGTCTGTCAGGTGGTCGTCTGTGACAGGTGGTCGTCTGTGACAGGTGGTCGTCTGTGACAGGTGGTCGTCTGTGTCAGGTGGTCGCCTGTGATAGGTGGTCGTCTGTGTCAGGTGGTCGCCTGTGATAGGTGGTCGTCTGTGTCAGGTGGTCGCCTGTGATAGGTGGTCGTCTGTGTCAGGTGGTCGTCTGTGTCAGGCGGTCGTCTGTGTCAGGCGGTCGTCTGTGTCAGGCGGTCGTCTGTGTCAGGCGGTCGTCTGTGTCAGGCGGTCGCCTGTGATAGGCGGTCGCCTGTGTCAGGCGGTCGTCTGTGTCAGGCGGTCGTCTGTGTCAGGCGGTCGTCTGTGTCAGGCGGTCGTCTGTGTCAGGCGGTCGTCTGTGTCAGGCGGTCGTCTGTGTCAGGCGGTCGTCTGTGTCAGGCGGTCGTCTGTGTCAGGCGGTCGTCTGTGTCAGGCGGTCGTCTGTGTCAGGCGGTCGTCTGTGTCAGGCGGTCGTCTGTGACAGGTGGTCGTCTGTGTCAGGTGGTCGTCTCTGGAAATGGATGGATTGTGGTTGACTTGGCTAGTGAACCATATTATCATTATTTTTTTGTTAAGGTCAGTAATATTCCCTCCCCATATTTTTTTCATTTAATCCATTATTGCATATAAACGAATTATTGCATAAACGGCTAAATTACACGTTGAAATTGAATGGAACATTCAGGGCAGTGGCCTTGATCTTGAATTATCTTGAGGTGATTTCGGGGCTTAGCGTCCCCGCGGCCCGGTCCTCGACCAGGCCCTCGACAAGGCTTCCTTTTTGTTACACACCCCTAGGAAGCAGCCCGTAGCAGCTGTCTAACTCCCAGGTACCTATTTACAGCTAGGTGAACAGGTGCATTAGGTTGAAGGAAACTACCTATTTGTTTCCGCCTCCACCGGCGGAACTTCAGGACTCAGGCCTACGAATCCCGAGCGCTGTCCACTCAGCTGTCAGGCCCCTTTAATTGTTTGTTTAGTAAACATATGGTTTATCGGGACCCGGTCGGCCGAGCGGACAGCACGCTGAGCTTGTGATCCTGTGGTCCCGGGTTCGATCCCGGGCGCCGGCGAGAAATAATGGGCAGAGTTTCTTTCACCCTATGCCCCTATGACCTAGCAGTAAAATAGACTAACCTGGGAGTTAGTCAGCTGGCACGGGCTGTTTCCTGGGGGGTGGAGGCCTAGTCGAGGACCGGGCCGCGGGGACGCTAAGCCCCGAAATCATCTCAAGATAACCTATTGTCAATAGTTTCCTTTATTCTCGTGCTTACGAAGGTTGGGTCTTGTCCTTTTCCTCTTCAACCAGGCACTTATTTTTACAGAAAAACTTGATGCTTTTCATATATGGTCAGGTACAGTTACATTGCATAAATCAACAATTGTGTGTTGTTGTAGTTGACTGGAGGACCATGTGAGCACTTAAGACGTATTATCCCGGGGTGTTAGAAATTCAACATTGATTGTGTATCTCATCCTCAGCAGGTATAAATCTGTAGTTTTTGCAGAGTTCCTAGCCATATTGGTGATCATAAATAACCTGCTTGACGAACATAGGGTTAGAATCTCTTGTATGATAGATACCAAGCAACAGCCTGGTGGACCAAACTCTCACAAGTCAAGCCTGGCCTCGGGCCGGGCTTGGGGAGTAAACAACTCCCAGAACCCCATCAACCAGGTATCAACCAGGTATACCATCTCACACAAATATAACTCATGATGACAAACAGCAGTCAAGGTCTGAAATCAGATACTCAAGGCAGAAAGAATTAGTATCATCAAAACGTGTATTGCCTCTAATGACCTAGTAGAAGCCAGTTCACAAAATTGTTTAGTCATTCATAACGCAACCGTTTGAGAAGTAGATAGATAGCTTCTACGAGGAACAAATTAGGTGCCATCAAATATGACCTCCCCCCCCCCCCGTGACCTTTCTCTTTCTATCACTTAAACAGGAATTTGGAAGTGTGCCTAGACACACATTAACACCGGGGCACTTGATGGGGAGCAGACCCGTGCACTTTACTGTTAGAACTGTATTGTTCCTCTTAAGACACTCGACTGTTTCCCAGTATTAAGTCCTGATCTTCAGGATGCTAGGAAATTTGTATTTCCCATACTATGTATCCATACCGGCTTTGCGCTTTCTTTTGATAATTACCTGTCTTCTCGGCCTTGGCCTCATACTTGCTCATGATGATAACTTACGGTGTGTTTTGTGGTTCCTCCCACAGGTGTCAGGAGGGCACGTGAACCCGGCGGTGACAATATCACTAGCTGTGACCCGGCGTGTGTCCCCCCTGAGAGCCGCCATGTTTGTCCTGGCTCAACTGGGCGGAGGCATTGCTGGCGCTGCGCTTCTCTACGGGTAAGAAAGATTTCTCCTTGCTGTGCAGTGTTTTCCTTGCTGTGCAGTGTTTTCCTTGCTGTGCATTGTTGTTATAACTGTTGTAACCGAGGACGTGAACAATGTGTTAAAAATAAAGTTCCTCGTAATGTATACGTAAAATCTCTTAATATAAATAGGCCTATTTGTTTTGCATTTTTAATTTTATGCTGTCATGGTGTTACCCATAGCCTAGCATACATTTGGACTTTATGATATAGCCTAGCATAAGCATACATCCTGGGCTATATGGTATAGCCTAGCATACATCCTGGGCTATATGATATAGCCTAGCATACATCCTGAGCTATATGATATAGCCTAGCATACATCCTGGGCTATATGATATAGCCTAGCATACATCCTGGGCTATATCATATATAGCCCAGGATGATATATGATATAGCCTAGCATACATCCTGGGCTATATGATATAGCCTAGCATACATCCTGGGCTATATGATATAGCCTAGCATACATCCTGGGCTATATGATATAGCCTAGCATACATCCTGGGCTATATGATATAGCCTAGCATACATCCTGGGCTATATGATATAGCCTAGCATACATCCTGGGCTATATGATATAGCCTAGCATACATCCTGGGCTATATGAGAGTTATCGCGCTTACGCCTCTTTTCTACTGTATTATTCATGTCATCATTGTCATGTTAGACGAACTTAGGTCGTATAAGAATGAATGCAATTTTGATGTTACCGGATTTCATTTCGCATAAGGGACTGGAAAGACCCATGCAGAATCCTGGGATGGGGGGAGGGTGTGGGTTGTGGGGGGGGGGGGGGAGTAGGACATTTCTTGCTCAAGGCAGGCGACGTTGGAAGGTTCTAGAAGGCAATATGACGTAGTATGCTTCTAGATTAATAATAATAATTTCTTTCACCTGGGCTGGAGGAGACTCGAACCACGACTCGAATCATTTATATAACTGCCTTCAAGTGGCAGTTCATCAAAATAAACACCACAAGCTAAGAGATAAAGTTGTTTCGACGACTGTTTGACTAGGCCTACTGACTGGTCTATTTCGCCGAGTTAGTGTTATTGCTCACATTTTTTCCTGTGTATTGTTTGTGGAATATGCTTGGTCAACTCAAACATCAAATGGCGAAGAAACTGGAGAACGCCATTATTATTTACGAAGATTGTGGCCAGTCAGGTGAATTGACATTTGTCCCACGTCCTGGCGGAAGCCGATGACAAGAAGTACTGCACAAGCAGACGTTTTTAATTGTGATGATTAAGTTTCTTAGGCGCTTTGGTGAACGCCCGTTTGTGTTGGGGTGGAACATCTTCAAGAGGAAACTAGATTGTTTCCTCCAAGGAGTGCCGGACCAATCGGGCTGTGGCGGATATGTGGGCCTGCGGGCCTCTCCAAGCAACAGCCTAGTGGACCAAACCCTCACAAGTCAAGCCTGGCCTCGGGCCGGGCTTGGGGAGTAGAAGAACTCCCAGAACCCCATGAACCAGGTACGTCCAGCTGATAGATTTGTACCAGTGCCGTCGTCTTGACACAAACCCAACTTCACCTGTGGTGCCGACTTTGCTCTGTGACACCCGGAGAAGAGGGAGTTTCTCTTACATACATTTCATAGGCAAATAATATTACTATAAATTTGTTGAAAACAAATAGGCCTCGAAATGTAAACGCCTGTTCATTTATATGACAATAAAAACATTCCATTAATACTTTAATGTTTGATGTAGGCTACGGTAATATAATCTAATTAACCCAGGCCTAATTGGTTGTTTCCTCATCGTACTTGTTGATTACGCCTCTCAACTAGCAATATATATCCCTAAGTGTGTATATCCGTAATAGCTATTATTTTATAATATATTCGTAGCTATTATTTTATAACAGCTATCTGTAGTTATTATTTTATCACAGCTATGATAAAATAGCTATTTTTTTAAATTTAAAAAAATAGCTATCCGTATCTGTATTTTTATTGATCTTTATTATAGTGTTTGTTACGTAAGAGTATGTGTAGAACCATGGTTCTACAACTTCTCCTGCAGCAGTTGTAGGCCCCACGTTGGCAACTGGCGGCCGCCACATGCCAGCACACCCGATACTTGCCTTCCTCTTGTCGTATGTACTGAACAAAAGTTCTTCCAAACATCACGTGTTTGTGTAGATAGATGTCTTTTCCGTCTGCTGGTCCTCAAAATAAACATCGTATTTCAGTGTAGGTTGTCGTTACCCATAATTAAATAAATTCTGTGCATCATGCTGTCTCAGATTCTTCTTTCAACTGATGTTAGGCTATCTTTAGCGGCTTCAGTTTGTCGTCGTAGCTCGGCACAAAGTTTTGGGAGTAGCCTTGTGCTGGTTGTGCGTGTCTTCGACTGGACTCTAGTTCATACCTGGTTGATGGGGTTCTGGGAGTTCTTCTACTCCCCAAGCCCGGCCTGAGGCCAGGCTTGACTTGTGAAAGTTTGGTCCACCAGGCTGTTGCTTGGAGCGGCCCGCAGGCCCACATGCCCACACCAGCCCGGCTGATCCGGAACTTCTCTTAGAAAACTGTCCAGTTTTCTCTTGAAGATGTCCACGGTTGTTCCAGCTGACGGGTCATATGGAAGTCCTGGTTACCACGTTCCAGCACAAAGCCGAGGCTTCAAGTCTAAAATTCGGACATGCCTTTCTACCTTCCACGTTTTCCCATCCTTTTATAACTTGTTTAGAAGTTAGAATAGAGCCAGTTTGACCTCACTATACAGAGTGGTGTCGGGCCGTGTCGTAATGCAGATGAAACTCCTCTCAGCTGATGCTTCCCCTGGGCTGTTGGCCACTTCAACTTGGCGCAACTTTACCCCTCAGGTCACCCCTGACCCTTCGCAAAATACAATGTTCCGTAGCTTATTCTTCGTTTTAAGCTTATCACCACTAGGACTGGACGGTAGAGTGACGGTCTCGCTTCATGCAGGTCTGCGTTCAATCCCCCGACCGTCCAAGTGGTTGGGCACCATTCCTTCCCCCCCCCCCCGTCCTATCCCAAATTCTTATCCTGACCCCTTCCAAGTGCTATATAGTCGTGATAGCTTGGCGCTTTCTCTTGATGGTTTCCTCCCTTGCATTGCCACATGTCATGACATCATTACTCTATATATCATTATGCATATCCTTTATTGTATGATCCACTTCATTTGTGTTACTAGAAAAAATCAAAACAATGCACAGAGGTAAGTAGTCTGGGTACTGTTATAGTAACTACACTGGGTAGATAGGCCTATAATAGCAAGTTCTGAAATGGAAACGCTTAAAACGTTCAGTTTTTTAGGGAAATTCCTGCGCGGGTCCTAAGCCTCTGGCTGGCCCACTAAGTGTTGCTTGTTGCTGTTTTACTTGGGCGGAGTACGAGTAGTTATGACTCGTTTGGTCGCTTCAGTTAGATTTTATCCCATGTGTTTAACAACTTATTCTGCTCTGTTGAATCGTAGTTGAAATCTTATTGGGTTTGTAACTGTGCACTGTGTTAGATAATGTTCCAGTGGTCCGTCGGGTATTTCTCCACAGTGTTGACAAGACGTTCAGACGACAGGTGTAGGTTAACACGTACAGCCACAGGTGTAGCGATAAGTGTAGTCACAGGTGTGGTAACGCATGAAGCCACACGCGAGTAAGTGTAGGTGTAGTAACAAGTGCTGGTACAGTAATATGGCAGTTAATGTTCAGGTACAGTGATAACCAAACACGTGTAGCTACACATGCTGTAACAAGGTACACTGTAAGTAACAGGTACTGATACACGTACAGGGGGGGGGGGGGGGGACTATGAGGAGGAAGCTCCAAGTCATTACTACTGTATAGCACTTGGAAGGGGTCAGGATAAGGATTTGGGATGGGACGGAGGGAAGGGAATGGTGCCCAACCACTTGGACGGTCGGAGATTGAACGCAGACCTGCATGAAGCGAGACCGTCACTCTACCGTCCAGCCCAAGTGGTTGAGGTGGGGGGGGGGGAGAGAACTGGGATTATTACAGACGTATTCCTAGAGTGTTTCCCAAGGAGACCGTTCTCGCTGGCGTTCCCAACATCAAGAAAGTGTCGTACTAAAGTGCCCTTATCTTAACGTTCCAGAGGAACCAAAACAGAAAACGGGACAGTACGTCAATGTCGCGAGCCGCTACCATTTTCAAGTACGATTTTTTGACCTTTGGTGAAGTATACGTCAAAATGAGGCGTGCTATCACGGGTCCCATGATAGCAATATCATGCAAAAATTAGATTTACCTGAAGCCTACTAAATCAAGCTGACTAGATTCAGTGAGTTATGTGCTATTGCCACTTCACCTTCCCTTGGCACCTCTCATTCTTCTATCTCTCATTTTTCTACTGCAATTTAGCTTCCAAATTAAACGCCATATTATCATGTTTGATGTCGAGATGCAAAAGTGGCTTTTAGTCTGCATCAAAGAGGTGCTGTACAGTGTTGCCGGCTTGGCGCCTTCTTTTCATAATTACTCGCATCAAAAGGTTTATACTTTCATCCCGTGTGTGTCACTCCTGTGGCGTCTTTGAAGGAGGGAGGAGTGACCGGCCCACAGGGAAAACATTTCTTGCGTATTCTTCACACAAGTTACACGAGAAAATGAGAATATCTTGGGAGTCGTGTTTCCTACCCCGTGACAAGAGACAATTGTATTAATGGTGTAATCTGAGTCACATTGGATTGGCAGTCTGTGTTGTTGGCCAGACCACACACTAGAAGGTGAAGGGACGACGACGTTTCGACTTGAGAATGGTCCAGGACGGACCGAAACGTCGTCGTCCCTTCACCTTCTAGTGTGTGGTCTGGTCGACATAATTTAGCCACGCTATTGTGACTCATCGCCTGCATAGGGTGGATTCTACCTACCATCCCGCCAGTCTCTGTGGAGATCTGTCCTTGTGGGAACACGGGAGCCGGTGGCTGAGCGGACAGAACACTGGACGCGTGATCCTGTGGTCCCGGGTTC